GGTATGTGGCTTTACCTTGATTAGTTATAGATCAAGTTTGCATTTCGTCCCGCTTCATTAATTTTTGACGGAATTATGGCATTTTCAATTCTTAACGGGAACCAGATTACACTTGCCGGTAGGGGACTAGTATTGCTAATGCAATACGCTCAGAATGCTTGTTTGAATGAGAAGGCGGAGCGTCTATCAAGCGTGCGATTAGTATGAATACATTAGCGTGTGTTCGAGGTGTACTAAGTTTTATGATTAACTGACACCTAAAAAGCCTTTTTTCATGCTAGAGACCGACAAAATATAAGCATACATTTTTAATTTGGCTGGCTTAATTTTGATTTTTTTTCTTCTGCTTAACTTACGAGTCGTATTTGAAATGATTTACTAGAAATTCGTTAAATTTTTTATACATTAAATACACAGTGGAATTTGGAAACAGCGTATAACGAAGGATACTTTAAAGAAACTTTTTTTTTGAAAAAGTGATAATTAATCCATTCAAGCTTATTACAAAATTAGAAATTTTTCATACATATATATAATTTTGCAAAATCCGAGTGCTACAACAAATACACGTAGGCGGTTGAATTATGATATAAAACTATACACTCGGTGTATAAAAAATAGATAGTTAAGAAAGTGAAAATTTAAACGTTAATTAAACGTCAGTTTAACGTCAGTATCATCGCTGGTGGATAAAGAAACATCAGTGTCAGTGTATATACTTTGTACAGTCCAAATTGCATTGTTTCAAAAATCCTGTTTATTCATGCCAGACAAGTTAATATGATCTTCCTCATTTAGGAATTCATTAATTGTCGAAATCCACTCCTGTACTTTTTGATAGTAAGATAAATAATAAATCACTCCGAGGTATTTTCAACACCCTTTTTCATTCGACTGATTTTTTTTTTTACTAATATCTACGTTGATCGGACATGTGAAAGGGTCATACAAATGCATGTTCTTGCTTTTAAACATTATGATTTAAAAATACCTGCGAACATGGACTTTTTTTTTACGTGATCTGCCAAAAAAAAAAAAAAAAAAAAAAAAAAATTGTGAAATTTTGTGCCGATGTAAAAAGTTATAGCATTTGCTTCAGAAGAAACCCGTAGCTTCCCTCTGTTCAAATTAGGGGTGCTTTTTGTGCAAATGTATTCATCCAGTGACTTTTCATCCGATATACAGGTTTTTATGAGCGCTCCGTACTTCAATTTCTTTCCCTGAAGGTTTTTTCTATTGGAAGTATGCATTTGTGCACTTGTAACAAGCAATTTATTTTTCTAACGATATAATGAATTGGTGTTTTTCAAATAACGGACTATAAAATTAATGACAGTTTTAACTGAAAAAAAAATCTTTCATATCTTCCAAGTCAATGAACAGAGCATTGCTATATATTTAGGGACAAGGGCAAATGTATAATATGTACCCACAGTAATAAAAATTTTAAAATTCTGTATTAATGAGCCACAAGCAGTAAGTGCGAGCTATATGTTACAGGCCTTCAAAATAAATTGATAGATACCGAAAAAAATCAAACAAAATCGACTGAATATCTTAACACATCTTAATCATAAAATGTTTTCTCCCAGAATTTTAATTACCCATTTGAAAAATGATTTGACCATCGATAGCTCGCAGACACAATGTCGCATAGGTGTGCTCAAAGCGAAGTGAATAGATTTGAGTCACGTGTTCAGTGCTTTGTTATTCATGAGGTCAAAGACGGGTTGAAATTTGTAAACAAGGTGCCTTTACTATGGAGACAAGCACCCGTGATTTTGCACCTTTTTGGAAAATAGCAAATGAGCGCAAGACTGTTTCAATTTCTTCCATGAATGTAAATGAATAGTATAACTCTTTACATTGACCATATTTACGACAACTTGAAACATCCTTGCGCTCATATATAAAATGGGCTTGCAAAATGGGGGTGTGGCCTAAAGTCTACGAGAAATCGATGTAAACAACATACCCCTGCTATATTAATCAGATAAATACCTAATTACAGTGTAAGGAAGTAAAAATTGAAATTGAAATTAATAAACTACAATGTTTGATGGAAAGATTGAGGCAAAAATATGTAGAAAATCTTCAATTTAATTTTTTGTAAATTATCGGGGGGCCAGATTTGGACGTTTAAACGATTCATCCTTTCCAAAATAATATGACAAGGAAAAGAAAGTCCTGGAATGTGCCAGTGCTCGGCATTACAGCGACAAAAAGTGTGTGTGTGGGGGGGGGGGGGGGGGACTAGCATCTAAGGGAAAATTTACTATAGCAAAATACTTTACTCAGAAAAAGTGGGGGAGGGCCCCCTCTAGCTCCCCCTCCCGCGTTCTACGGGCCTGGTGTATATTCCAACATTCCAGGAAAAAAGCATTAATATGTGGATTAAAAAAAATTATATTTTGCATTATTTTTGCGTTAGTCCCGACGCAAAATGTAATAATCGTTTCTCATAATTATAAACTCACGAGTTTTTTGCTGAAGAATTATTTCAATAAATAATTTCTTTATATTTGGTCCACATTTACACTTGTATTGTTGTGTTAATCCCGAAAGAAAACAGTCACTGCATTTTCTGTCATTACATTTTGGTTAAATCCAACCCAAAATGTAATAATTATTGTTTATATCTACTTATTGAAGGGAAGGAAATGTGAATGAATTTTGAATGATCATAAAAATTTCTTAATAATTTGATTCTTCTTTTTATACATGTAGTTGTGATCATGATGTTCTGTGCTAATCCTGGAGGGAAAAAAGTTTCTTACATGTTTGCGTATTACATTTTGTGCTTATCTCGATGCGAAATTTTAAATTTTTTAATATAATCTGCACACAATGTAAATCCTCCCCCTTGATATATATGTACCTGCTGTGTACCGACTGTGTGTCACAACGGATGTCATTGAAGCCATATATGGCGTATTTTTTGATAAGTTCAGGTAACCAATTAAACAGATATTTCTATTTGTTTTATTACTTTATATTAAGATAGGACTTTCCTGTAAATTACACAATTTAAATCAATCGCGTTTCAAAGATATTTCAAATTTAAAACAATTATCAATTTATTTATTGACTCCACATTTAAATAACAGACAAATTTAGAGTCGATTTAACTATAGAAACGTGAGGTTATTCAAGCTCAAAATCGGTGAAAATTTTAATTTGAACGTAAATAACATATATCATGTATATTTTCAGTTTTTTTTTAACTCGATCTCGTATTATTATTTTTCAAGCTCAGATACGCCATATATAGCTTTAAACCCTCCTACATGTACGCAACGTACATGACATGTCAGGCGCGGATCCAGGAATTGAAGTTGGGGGGGGGGGGCAAAAAGTAGGCAGGGGTCTGGAGGTCGCCTTGAGGTCCCCACTGGGTCCAGGGCGAAGCCCTGTTGGGGTTTCAGGGGGCAAAGCCCCTGGAATCTAGATATTTTGTAGGGTAAAAATGAGGTCTAGTGAGTAGACATTTTTACATTTTCTCGACGAAACTGATTTACGCTAATTTTGACAATTTTAGGGTGCCCCCCCCCCCCCCTTAAATCTGCCAGTGCATGATGTACATGTATGTATGTACCTTTTCCCACTGACAATTCCCAAGATATTCCTAAATTTAAAATCACAGTACCATCAGATGTTCTTAGGCAAAAAATCAGCATGCAAGCGTTTTGAACAGATATTAAATGATGAAAATCCTTGAATTTTTTAGAGTAAAATTTAACAAAATTACTTTTTATCTGGTTTCTCCTATTCAAAGAAGGTGTACAGCATTACCAGGCATCATAATATGGCACAAAGATCCTTCAATTATTGGAACACTTAAATTATACAGGGAATAAGAAATTCAAATTCAAAACTACGTTGCATATGCGTCCTTAATACCCCTCCCCCTTTAAAAATCCATAATTTTAGGACTAAGTTCATAAACATAAGTAAAAGGTATATGGACATATTTTATTTCCAACATGGTAATGTACGATTAAATAAGATCTTTGATTATGGAAAGAAATAATACACATTTAGTCCAGTTGTTGAAAGTCTAGCAATCGTTCACCTAAACTCTAGAATTTGTTACCGAAACTTTAGTATTTCAATGTTGTTATTGCTTGATTCTTCCAAATCTTTAGAGACATTATTGTTGGAGATTGAAAATAAGGAGAATGTACAGTCAAACCTCGTTATCTCCAACTCGATGGGACCGAGAAAAAACGTCGAGATATCCGAGGATTCGAAATATCGAGGGTAAAATACTTAAGTACTACTTAAGTAGTTGGGACTTCTAAATCACTTCGACATGTACATGGTATTCGAGATATCAGTGTTTGAGATACCGATGTTCAACTGTATTTACCAAGCATCAGTATTTTGGAATGGCATCACCCACTGCCACAAGCAAATCTTAAGCTATGTTTGTTTTTAAATCACATTTACACTGCACCTATATAAAACTGCTGCAAGGCCTGTTACTCTAATAATTCCATTAATGATTAATACCTTTTATGGAATCATCTTCCATCATGTTATGCACAAAATCTGGAATTAGAGATGTTCCTCTTATAGATGTTTTGAATACCTTATTTTTTTCCCGAGGTAATGTTCCACTCTACCTTCCTTTTAAGGACCCTCTTTTCACTATGAATTTTTTTTCTGGACTTCAAAGGCTGCATGCCTTTTCTATCCAGGAAAGATCTTCAAAGACAACGAAATTACATGTACTGATAAAGAAAAATTATGTGTGTTTACTCAGATGGGGAAAATACATGCAAATAAAGTTTCCAATTACTCTATCTTGGTCAAATATAATGATCAGAATACTTGAATTACATGTTATAACAAATTATCTAGTATAGTGCAGTTTTATTCTATTTTACATCAAATTGTGGATCAGTCTAATTACACAAAAGTACCCTGAAATTAGTATGCAGTGTAGAGAGGGTCCTTAAAACCATGCTGGGTACTATCCATGAATTAACCAATGTAAATTAAAAAAAAAGAAAACTTTATTTCATTGTATTGTGAACTTAAAAAGAAGAGATTCATCCACAAGTATCATTTCTGAACTTAGAAAGCCTCAGAATATTTCTGATCTTAACATGCTCAGCATTCAATCCTCTTCAATAAACCTTAACCCATCAAAACAATATTAGAATTCTGCTTAACATATCAGAAAACACAGAACATTTAATGTAATGTGTGCTGAAAGGGTACTTCTGCTGATTTGGCAGTAGGCAGATATAACATTGCACTCTATTCTTTGTCACTTTTTTTTTGAATTGCACAACTTTGGAATAATATATTTTGGCCTCAGTTTTCTTTCTTTTCTTTAGCAGCATCTTTGTCATTTTTGTCTTTGTAGCCTTTTAAAGGATTTTGTTTACATCGTTGGTAGATGTTATTGAGATCAAAATCAGCAATCACTCCATCCTGTTTGTGAAAAGAAATTAATGTTTCAAGATATTTATAGGACAAAATCAATGTTTGAACAATCACGTCAAACATGAGACTCATGTCCCACAATGCTTACATGTCAACTTTTTCCTATTGAGAAAAGAACAAAGTTAATTACAATGCAATTTCATTAAGGACGATTGCTTGTTTCATAATTTGATATTCCATATATTATTACTAAGAAGACCATGAATTCTCCCAAATATTAAAATATAAATAGTGAGAAATACATGTAGACTGAGCTTATTTTTCATTAGAACAGTATGCAGGGCACCTTTTCTGAAATCATATGTGGTTAATTGGTTTGCTTTTGCATCTGACATTATCAATGACATTCATACAATTTGTTACAAGAACATAAGACAAAACAATATTTTTGCCATTATATTCAATTTCTCTTGTGTTACCTTTGAGAATTTGTAGCGCAGTACTGTGCCCTTTGGTGAGATGAATGGCTTTCTATTTGTCTCTTTTCCATTCTCAAAGACAACAACAGTTGGCAGCTGCTTTGACCATGAGCTACTGTCTACATTGAATCTGCAACAGATTTCTATGAATTGTACACAGGCATTGTAACTCAAAAACATCAGCACAATCTTTTTAAAAAAAAAACAAAACAAATTTTCACTTAAAATCTAAATAATTTAAATGATTTTTTCCCCTTTTTGTTTATTACCTGAGAATTTGAGCTAAGGATCTACACAAGTGCAAATAAGCAAACCAAAAAGTTGGAATTCACTTTAAAACCCTCCCAATAATGCCTTAAAACAGAATTACATTGTATGTTTTACTTACACTTTCCCTACATCTGGATACCTTGACACATCAATTTTACCAAATTTGAGGTTGTCTAGATGATATCTGAAAATATCAACATAGCTGTATCTTGAGATGAGCTAAACGAGCTTTTTTATTTAGTTCAATAAAAGAAAAAGAACAATAAAAAAGTTGAATTAAGGATACATAACACAAACAAAAATCTGATGCATGGATTGATATATATTTTTTGACTAATTTTGAATAGAAATGACACAAATAACATGAATAATAAATCCTAAAATGTAAAGAAATCATAAGTTTTCTTCAGTGCTTAGATATGTGACTTTGTGTCTTTTTCAATATAATTCTATGCAAAATTTTGCATACACTTTTAACATTATGGCAAAATCTTACAAAATTCACCCACTTTACCTGGCAAACATTATTCAGGTTATCTAGTATTTGAATATAAATCTATGAGAAATATTGCTGATTTCTGAAAAAAAGTTTGTTTGTGTTAATTATCCTTAAAATCTCACACTCCAAAACACAGCTATCCATGAAATCCTTGCCTTATTAAAAGTAAAACAAGAGGAAAAAATATGCTTGTTTTCTTAACAGTGCAATGTACACAATACATACTGAGATGAAATTTCTGAGAATATTGGAGCAAATGTAACACACTGTGGTGACCAGGCAGCATAAAATGAAATAATCCAGGTGATTCTTTTGTCTCTTTCTAACTCCTCCTATGAAAATTAAGAAGTGTAAACATTGAATTTTGGATACTGCTAATCAAATTCTTTAGAAGCTGTTGTTGTATATTTTTAATTCCAGCATGTTTAAATGATTTAAAGGTGTTTTTTTTTTTTAATATCAGATACTTTGAAGATGATTTAAACGAAAATGTAACTCAGGTTGTTCTTACCTGTAAATGAGGTCCTCTAAAATAAGTGATATATTCAGGCCCCTGGTATACAGGTCTAGGAAGAACAATTGTGTGTACTGGAAGGAAAAAAGACTTTGAAACAGCAACACATTTTTTAAAGTACATTTTGAAATATTGTCTCCTTAATATGAAAGAGATAAACCTGCAAAAATTATTTTGAAATACATTACAGAGTTTAAATGTGCTTGTAGAAAAAAAGAACTGAAAGCATACCTGTATCATTATACTTAGTATGTATGTACTTGACGTATTATATTCATATCTGTATTAACTTCTCAAATAAAGAACCAAAAATGTGTCTATTTTATTTAAGAGTATATTTATTATTTATCACCTGGAAAATTTTCCAGTGAATGTTAAGATTAAGTAGTAACAGTGATTTAATTGTATGTACAACGTATACTTACATAAAACAACAAGAAAGTACACCAGACCATAGATAGGGCTTGCTCTGAACATCATAACACCATTCAAAAATTTTGCAAACATGCATGCTGTACTCACATAATCCAAAAATGCAGCTAGAAAATCAAAAGTGTCATGTCAATATGATTGATATTTATCAAAAGTACAAATATCTGTTGATATCTATCAAAATATATTCGATGGAAAATGTACAAAATTTACCATGTTTGCGACATTTTATCACTATGATACAACCTAGAAAAGTCAGCCATTCCCACTCTTTCTGAAATGGTGAAAAAATATGATTTTAGTTTGTTCTACAAATAAATATATGTGAAGTCGGGACTAATTTCTTGCCATAACCAAAAAAAATAAACCTTTACTTTTTTTGCATATCAATAAGGTACACGCATATTTATAAACCAAGACCCAACTACCTCTTGCCATATCTATAACTCTTTTGAGAAAGGTGGAACCTTTTTTTCAAGTTAATGTAAAAATTAAAGTTATTCCCATAATTACAATTTGGTCTTAATGGTAAGCTCTTTTGTAAAACGGGGCCATATAGTGCGTAAACAAACTTTGGTTAGATTTCATGTACAAAGCGAAGTGCGTCGTCATCAAAAACTGCCCCAGGGCAACATACTCATGCTGCAAAAAGCTGATTTTACTTTCTCTATTCTTACCAGTTCTAAGAAGCAATCATCAAAAAGATATTCACATATTGGACGATTGGTCTTCAGGAGGTAATACGATACAGAAAGAAGTACATTGGTGACTAAATGTAGGCTTAAAATATCTTTGATTTCGGCAACCAATTTTGACATCTTTGATCTTCACAGCTTTCAACACCGGAAATGGTTGATCGACATTGAACAAGTTGCTCCTATACGTATTCGTGGATTTTTTCTTTTGAGCCATTCATTAGCTACGTGAAAAATTAGAGCCATTTTTTTTAAATTTGCATGTGTGAAATAATCATTAATACAATTCTTATTACTGTACACATTTCAATCATACTATGTCAGCGTATTAAGGGAATCGAGTATTTACGGTACAACTAAAAAACAATGGAAAATGAAAGTTAATTTCGACTGTGTGGCGAGGTGATGGAGTTTTGTGGTCATTTTGTCATTATTTAAGAATGGAAGATCTTTATAACATTTTAGGCTGTAAGGAAACAGCAACGTATGAAGACTTAAAGAAAAATTACCAGAAATTGGCTTTGCGAAGTCACCCGGACAAAATCTTATCACAGGGTGATGAGAACAATTCGGATTCGCTGCTAAATGCACATGAAGAATTTGCAAAGATAAATTTTGCATGGTCTATCTTAAGCAATCAAGATTTAAGAAAGCAGTATGACATAAAGTGGAAACAGAGGTTAATATCACAGGATTGGCCTATTCAGGACGACGTTGAAATTGATGACTTTGAGAAATGCGACTTGTCTGAAACAGATGACATTACATATACATATCCTTGTAGATGTGGTGGTGTATACCTTTTATCAGAGACTGATATTCAAATTAAGTTTGATATCGTATGTTGTGATACATGTTCTCTAAGTGTGAGGATTTTGTATAAGTAAATATGACTTAAAAAATATATACTTCTATTATTTATGAATAATGAACACTATACGCATACATCTGGTGAAAATATTGGTAAGATTGATAGAATGAATAATATAGAAACGTTGTTTGTTTCTTTGTTTGTTTTTGTTTTTTTTTTGGTTTTGTTGAAAAAGTCCCCCATTTCTATGTTACCTTGATGTAACTGTATTTGCTTGTCAGGTGATGATAAAGGTGAATGAAAATTGTCTCGAAAATTCTTTATGCAATAAGAATTGTGAACAGGGCAAAAAACAGGAACCCATCACATTTTTTCTTTTTTTCAAGGCATGACATGGCACTAAACATAACAGAAAATTTCTGGTACATTTGGTGTCATGCCATGCCCTGGAAGTGACAGAAGAAAGGTCTGTCATATATAACATTATATGTGTATATATTGATTTTTGTCTTCAAAGACGAAAGCATTCAAGGAGGGAGGAAATAGCTGACAGATTCATTGTCAGATTGTTCAGTTGTCTAGAGCCCAGGAAGCCTAGGTTCAAATCCTGGTTACTCTCTGGTCTGTCATATATTATTCCCTGTAATTGGAATGACTTAAAGTGCCTTCCAGTCAAATGCAGTAGTTCAAGCTTGATTGGGGGGGGGGGGGGGGTGTTGTTGTTGTTGACAGAACTTCTCCCTCCATATGAGCCCTTGGTTTAATCAAGAACAGTGGGGGATGCATGTGAGGTGTGATTGCACCCACTGTAAATATAATGTTTGAAACAGAAAATATAAATTCATAATTTTATCTGTTTAAAATAATGCTACTTTATTTTTTTTTTTAGATACAGAAGAAATTACTTCAATTAAGAATGCACCAGAATAAACAAAAATTGTACAGTAACCCATTCATATAATAATTTCTGGCTCTGAGGAGAGGTTAGGTTATGCCGCTTTATATTTAGAATACATTATGTCTTCTAAAGTCTTTTTTTTTACTTCATGCAATAGATACATGTAATATCCTGACATAATTGTAAAATTCTTGCCAATTATGAGTCCTGACTACTAGGTTGAGGTTAATTCACATAGCCCATGAAAACTTAAAGTCATCTATCCATATGGCTGCAATCAAGGCCCATGGGTGAGTTATTTAATACCACTTAAATTTGATTTATAATGAAACATAATTTTTTTCATATCAAACAAGAAACTGTAAATATGAATTCAATTATTTGATATGAGAAAATCCATGTTAATTTCTGATATAAAAAAATCATTTCTTATGCCAGAAAAAACATTTTTTTTTTTATGTTGGAAAACAATATTTTCTGATTCCAAAAAATCGAGATCAATTTTTTTTTTTAAATCAGATATTGTTTTTTGATGTATTTTTTTTTCACATCAAAAATTTTAATGTTTGATATTGATCAAGGTGCCGTTGATTCACGTAGGTGTGAGAAAATATCACAAAGAGCAGGACTGAATTACAGGAGGATTATAACAGTGTGGTAGAAACTTGTTATTCCGTTGGATTTTTCAGAAAAGATTGAAAAAAATAGCGCAGGTTCCAAAAAAAAAATATTAGGAAAATTGGAATATCAAAATATTTGAATGAGATCAGTTCAGAAAGATGTAACATTATTATAACTTTACGATGACCAGGACTGCGTATATTATGAAATTCGGTGAACTGAAGAGTAAGTCCTTGTCCCCTTCTTCTATGAAAAATGTATCAAAGAGTCAATCGAAGTTATCATTGTTTATATGAGGGGAAAGTTAATTCTAAAATCATGAAAGTATCTGTTAAAAACTTTATGTTTAAAAAAAAACCTTCATACAAATGAAATGATGTGGATCAATAGAATGATAAGATTTTCATCAAGTAAAATCAAATATTTATCCTCACGTGTCGATGACAGCACGAGTTGCGAGTTGAAAAACGAGTAATGTTAAGCAGTAATTATATGATCACTTTGTTCCGCCGTAAATTATTGTACAGAACACGTTAAAAATATTTCAATTTGCCTTGCAGATATTATTAAAATTCCACCCTCTCCTCAAGATGATCACTATTCTGCAAACCCAAATATGGAGTAGTATTCACTGAGAGACTATGATCACATTTACTCCTATTTATATGTGAGCACATACTAATATATAGCAGTGGCGGATCCAGGAATCTTGAAAAAGAGGAGGGGGGCATTTTGGGGTCGGGGTAGGGGCCCACAGCCACACCTAAAAAATTGATTTATTAAATCTTATGTATATTTTGGACACAAAAGGGGGGCCCTGCCCCCTCTAAATCCGCCAGTGATTAATTAAGTAATTTTGCTTTGAATTAGGTGCAAAATATTTGTTGTTCGTAACATTTTGCGCCCTTCAAATATATTTTGCGTTGCATTACCCCTACAGAAAGTTTTGATCTGAACTTGATTGAAGCCAGTTTTTACACGACTATTAAAAAAAGATGAGAAAAAGCAATGTTCACTTACAGCCTTTTTTGGCCCCTTGATTTTCTAATATATATATATATATATATATATATATATATATATATATATATATATATATATATATATATATATATATATATATATATATATATATATATATGCTCAGTTTTATTTGACAATAATTTTCTTTTCTCATTCCTGAAAAATTCTCCAAAAATAGTCAAAAGTTTAAGATAGTTGTTTTTAAAATTTCGTACAGAGCACAAGATCTGAAACAGAATTGTAATTATATAACGATAAACCTTTTTTAATGATAAAAAACAAGTTGTTTTTTTTTTTTTTTTTTTTTTTGATCAAGGGCTGTGCTCATATTACAAATCTGTGCTGAAGGATTACAAATACACCAGTTTCTACAAATTTCAAGAAAATTGCAATTTAATTTAAGCAATATTTTATTATGATTAAACATAACTGGATTGGACAGCAGGCACTGCCTATATAAGTCCTCTCCACAATACAGGTCAAGTCATACATGTTACAAGTAAATATTAATTACATAACATTGAAAAAAATATATACATGTGAATATTCTAAAGATATATATATATATATATATATATATATATATATATATATATATATATATATATATATATATATATATATATATATATATATATATATATATATATATATATATATATATATATATATATATACACACACACACACACACACACATATATATATATATATATATTATATATATATATATATATATATATATATATATATATATATATATATATATATATATATATATATATATATATATATATATATATATATATATATATATATATATATATATATATATATATATATATATACATACATACATACATACATACATACATACATATACATATATATATATATATATATATATATATATACATACATACATACATACATACATACATACATACATATACATATATATATATATATATATATATATATATATATATATATATATATATATATATATATATATATATATATAAGAAGACAAAATAAGTAGGGAAAAAAAAATATAAATGAGCTGATGATACTATATAAGTTTGCATTTAACATATATGACTGATAATTATAATTATACAAGTATAAATGTGAAAGTTAATAAGAACACATAAATAGATGTTGAAATTGCAATTTCACAAAACATGTCTTCCAATATACATGGACTCTCAAAGGAAACTTTGTTACAGGAAATGAAGGCATGCACTATCTCTACTTTATATCGAAGTTTGAAATTGGATATATATATATGATAATCAATTACTATATAGACAGGGTCATTTTATGCATAAAGTGAACTTAGCCCTTTTTGTGGCAGAATAAATGTTGTAATTAAATTATACATTTATATGCTATACGTATTTAATATAGGTGGCAAATGTATATTTCTCAGTATGTTGATACCCAAATTACCATCAAGATGCATATAAGCTTCCTGTCTGTAAATATTATATATATTCTGATAGCCGCATCAGATTTTTATATAATTTCTAGGCAAGCTGTTACAATAATTAACCGATATCATATACATGCATACATGTTTATATAAATACATACAGCTTTTAAGATGGAAGTAACACACATTTTTACATTTTATTGTTATTAAGGTCTTCCGTTTCCAACGGAAGACCTTCTACTGATTCTGATGGTTAAGATTATTAAGGTCTTCCGTTTCCAACGGAAGACCTTCTACTGATTGTGATGATTAAGATTATTCTTTTTTTTTTTTTTCCTAGACGCCAACTTTGACGCTTC